TGTGCCTCATCCCCTGAGTTATCTCGAGGCCAGGCCCGTAGGCGAGGTGTGACTGTTTGGATTGGGAGTAGTTCACAGGCCAAGCCTCAAAGATAAAGACAAAGCGCATGATATTTTCAGTGCAAAAAAGAGCGTAGAACATTGGAACCTTTAAGGTGTGTGTGAATTGAGACGGGACAAAGCGACATCAAGGAAGTGCACTGCGGTGATGGAGCTTACTGAATTTTCGCATCTCCACTGTAAGTCATGTTTCACTGACGCACAAGTGGATTGAGACTGAATGATCAGTTCGGTGACTGAGTTTGGCACTCGACCAGTTAGGTCTATCGGATCCTCAAGGGTCCCCGTTCCGATCAAACGTGGTTTGTCCTCGACGATATTCGTCCTCTGATTGTTCTGTTTCTGAGCGGCAGTCAATACCGTTGTGGTATCGACCGGTCCGACTGGAATGATTTTCGGTGGATCCAGATAAGCCGGCACTGTTTAGAAACGAAAATGTAAACCAAGAATTAGACCTCTAATATCTCAATGGAGTGCACCTTTGTTATCTACCCTTTTAGGTAAGAGCTTTCTACGGAGGATATCGGTCGAGATGATCCACTTTAATGTCGAGCTTTACAGTGCTATATTTGAGCCTTCCGTTGGTTCGCAAATAAACCAACGATGATCACGGACAAGTCAGAGAACATGGCTCAGTTATCCGCTTGTTATATTTAGTGCCAAGGGCTATGAGTGATACAGCTCAATTCCATTTCCAGAGGTTTAACCAGAAAAGTGCTTCTACATAATTTGGGTTTAAGAGACANCCAGAAAAGTGCTTCTACATAATTTGGGTCTAAGAGACAAGCGGAAACGATATCGCCGTAAATGGTCTACATAAGGAGAGCTTACTTTTTAACTGGCAAGCGATTGCTTTTGTGCCAAACTGGGTCATATACGCGTGTGCCACCAACGACCCATACAGGCATTCTGACCAATTTGGAGCAAACGGGTATGTTTGAGGGACTCCTAGCCAGTATGGTTGAAGGAGATGGGAAACGCTCTGAGATTCTATCTCAGAAGGCGCTCCCTAAGGTCCTCTCCTACATTTGTCGTTATTGGCGTCCGTGAATTGTCTGTAACATCGTCGCTAACTGGGAATCAGTCCTGGAAAGTTGTCTCCTCTAGACGACCGGGGTAATTTTCCTCATAATACACTTATCTAGAATAAGGCTTTTTCTGATTAAATTAGACACCTAGGCCGTAACTTGACACAACAACAGTCGACATCCATGGCTGATACTAATGACTCAACAAATATGAAAAGCAGTATGCACAAAACAAGAAAAAATGTCCAGTTTTGCAATGATGGGATTTCGATGGCAGGTCACAGATGTCCAGAACGCGGGCTC